CACGACCCGTGTGACACCTCACACGACCCGTGTGGCTAAAAAATTGATTTTTTTTTTTTTATTTATTTTGATAATTAATATGTTTATTATAAAAACATTTAATTATCATATAAACTTAAAAAAAATCAAAATCTATTTTTAAAGATGCTAATCGTAACGTGTCTCTGATACCACTGTTAGGTTCGATATACTGTACGGAACAGAGTTTGCAGCGGAATTTAAAATTTTATAAGTATTTGTCTAATAAATACTTATTCTGTACATAAGTATAACGAGATAACAAATAAGCATCATTTAAAATCTAGTAACTTTTACTAATTTTGATTTGATATTTAATTTATAAAAACTACCTTTGTTCTTGAACTCCTTCAAAAAACGACGATGGATGAGGAAATCAATTCCCGGTTTGGTAACGTCCACTTCTTGATGTTACTCGCTTTAGGAATTCAAATGTCTTCCCTCTAAGAGTATCCACCTTTTGAACTCCGGTTCCGACTATAGTTTCTTCGCTAGTAGAAACTACTCGGTTTTTCAATAAGTATAGAATATATATATAATTATAAGGAAATTTTACAAGAACTCTTTCTTACTTTATCACTCAACTATTTGGATGATTTTTTCTCTTTGGAAGAACTTAGAAAACTTAGCAATTTATGTGCAAACATTTTGCACCTATTTATACTAAACATTTTAGCATAAAATAATCAATATTTGATAATTATTTATTTTTAAATAAAATCAGATTTTATTTAAATTATCATACCAAATATTGACTTTTAATTAATAATGTGGAGTGGTTTATAACCACCATCAACCACCATTATTTTGTCTCTCAATTATTTGAATCCTTAATCATATTAAAGATGAAACAATAAAATAATAATTCTTGAAAACATTTTTCAAGACTTTATTATTTTAATCTTTTCTTCCAATTTTCTTATTTAATAATCATATTGTTATTTGGATTTGAAATTTAAAATCCAATTTTAAATTCCAACTATTAATTAGTAATTCCATTAATTACTAAATTAATATTCAAAATTCAATTAATCAATCTAATTGATTAATTTAATATATTCCTTTAATTGAAATCTAATCAAATTAGATTTGTCAATTAATTCTAACTCTTTAGAATTACTATTTGAATTTTACCTTCATTCAAAATTTGGTGCGACCTTTTAGGTTCACAATTAATACTAGTAGTGGGTTTACAACTCTTTGTAATTTGAGTTATTCATATTAACTCTTATTCTTGAATTAACTTTTTAATTCAAGAACCCACATATCATGGGAACATCTAGCAAGTAGCATGAATCTAGTATTAAGTGAATAGCGAGTAAACCTATTTCGATTACAAGTCCATACATGTAAAATCCTTTGGACATCCAATTTCCCTATTAAATCATTGGGTATGATTTTGTCGAAACCCAAATTGATTTAATAACTATGATTCCATTTCAAGTTTAGTAATTCGTTTATGAATCTCTATTCATCCCGCCTTGGCCAAGGACTTTGAATTACTAACTATGAAACACATAGGAAATCCCTTATCTTCATAAGTGTCGAATCCTTTGTTGGCCACTGACAAACTTCCATACATATTAATATAATACCCAAAATATCCCTTTATACGATTGTGCTAGCAATCAAAAAGATAAATCAAAGTAAAATATAATATGCACAAAGTTACCATCGTGCCTCAAGTCTAAGGATTAATCATGTACTATTGTAACATGAAAATTCTTATTCGACATGATAAACTTTCATTAAGAATTTTCATACGGTCATGTTCAGTGAACTTGTTCTCTAACAAGAACCCACATATATGTATTTGCGTCCCACGCTAATGTTGATGGAATGCAACATTCTTATCCAATAAGTATACATACTATGTACAAGTCTTTTCCGGATTTAGTCGATATCCCATCTCGAAACATCCAACGAATTGGAACTGTATTTAAGATCACATCTTTCAAGATATGTTCCATGATCACCATCTCTATGCGCAATCATATCTTATAGCTATAAGTGATCTAGGGATTTTATCTTAAGTGCAAATATAAATGCTTACTCTTAAAATAACGTAATGCCTTATTATTTAATATAATTCCAATAGATTGTATTTACAAGTAGAATACGTCCAATCTGATTGGAACGCCGGGTATACTACTCCAACAGATGAAGCCGTGGGGAGGAAGAGGATTCCCTTTGACGAACTCTAGAGATAATCACAGCAGTCAGCATCCCACGGTTTGAACTTGATTTTGCCTATATTTTCTTTTTTTTTTCTGTTTCGAATAGTAGATGCTTGAGATTTATAGGGGGCTTTCCATTGTGTTCAAGTCACGTAAATACATATTGGTCACCATTGGATTTAAATGCAAAATAATGGTAGGTTGAAGTAGTTAAACGCTATTATTAATTTTGTATTTAAAGAAGACACTAGTACAATGCCCGTGTATTACACAAGTGCTTGCTAATTTTTTTTTAAAAAATTAAAATTAATGAGAAAAAGTAGTTGAAAATTTAAGTACTTATTATAAAAAGTATATATTATTATATAATTTAGTATGACGCTTGTTACTTGTGCGACTTACATGTGTTATATTATAATAATTTTTTTAACTTATAACATATAACTACATTAAAATATAAATATAGTAAACATAAATATATTAGTTGAGCAATAATTTTATTTTTCTAACTAATTTTTATATTTTTTATTATTATAAAGATAAATATTATTTATTTATCTTATATATACAATATGGATGTCAAATCGAAGCTCATCAAAAGATGATTAATTTGATATATTGTATATGTAAAACCGATAAAAATACAAAAGTGATCAACCTTTAAAATACATTTGCAATTTAATAATTATAATGGGAAATGATATTAAAATACAATTAATACATCTAAAATGATCATAAATAAATCAACATATTTATGATAATCCAAACCTAATTTTTTTTATTAAAATTAAATTAAAATATTATTTGTCCAAACCTAATTACAAAGCATGATGATTTGCCAAGTAGGATTCTGAAGCACCAGAAGCAGTCACGTAGGCTCAACGCATTCGAAAATTATATATAGGGGGATATGGCCTTTGTTTGACCAATTCTCACCGGCCCCGACGTTCCTCGAGTAGCATTGGTAACTCCTTCCCTTCTTGCCGCCCACTTTCTTGAGTTTGGTGAATAAATAACGACAACCGCCGTCTTTTACATGGGAATCTTCGAACAACTCCCAAGGCCCCGTTTGGCCGTAGAGGTCGGCTATGGAGATGAAGCCGTGGGAGGGAAGAGGATTCCCTTTTACGAACCCCAGGAGATAATCACAGCAGTCAACGTCCCGCAGTTTGAACTTGATTCCGCTGATTTATTATTTTTCTGTTTCGTATAGTAGTCTTGATATTTATAGAGAGGCTTTCCGTTGTGTTCAAGTCACGTAAATACTTATTGGTCACCATTGGATTTAAATGCAAAAAAAATGTAGGTTGAAGTAGCTAATCGCTATTATTAATTTTGCTTTTTAAGAAGACACTACTACAACGCCTGTGTATTACACGGGTGCTTGCTAAATTTTTTTTCAATAAAATTTAAAATTAATGAGATAAAGTAGTTGAAAATTTGAATACTTTTTATAAAAAATATATATTATTATATATTTTAGTATGACACGTGTACATTGTGTGACTTACCTGTGTTATATTATAATAATTTTTCTAAGTTATAATATATAACTACATTAAATATAAATATATTGAACATAAATATATTAGTTGAGAAATAATTTTATGTTTCTAACTATTTCTTATATTTTTTTTTATTATTATGAAGATAAATATAATTTATTTATTTTATTTATACAATATAGATGTCAAATCGAAACTCATCAAAAGATGATTAATTTGATATATTATATATGTAAAATGATAAAAATACAAAAGTTATCATCTTTTAAAATATATATGCAATTTAATAATCATAATGGAAAATGATATTAAAATACAATTAATACATCTAAAATGAACATAAATAAATCAACATGTTTATGGTAATCCGAACCTAATTTTTTTTATTGAAATTAAATTAAAATATTATTTGTCCAAACCTAATTACGAAGAATGATTATTTTCCAAGTAAGATTCCGAAACACTAGAAGCAGCCACGGTGCCGTACGCATTTTAAAATTATATATA